AGCTTCCTCTCAGCAGAGGCCGTTTGAGACGCTTGGTCATATAGGAGTAGTTCGTGAGGTGCAAGGGAAGGGTGACCAGCTGCAACCCCAAACACCCACCCCGACTATAATGAGTACTGAAAGCTTGTAACTTCTTGAATTTGACTGGCACCAATCATCTGTCTAATTTCTAGTCAGGCGGAGATCGTCATTTTTCCGAAATTACCATTGTGTTTCCATATACAAGACTACTGTATCTTTTCTGCATCAATTTATACAGTCAGGTAACCGCACTGAATCCTCGGGAGGCTATCCTTTACGTTCCGATGATGGCATTCCAATAACACATGCAGGCTTTCTGTTGTGTGCATTCGTTCAAGGCTAGATATGTTCACTAAAACTCTATCGTAAATAAATCAATGTATTATTTCGCACTTCGGTCGTTATGAACATGAATCGACTTGTGTCGATTGCTGCACGTTTTCCCCACTTTGTTCATAGGTCAGCGGCACCAGACACTGATGGAAGAACAGGCATTGCTTCGTCGTGGTTCTCCAGTTCTTGTCCCACCCACTCGTGGTGATCCCATCCGCGCCCGGTTGCGTATGTCTTCCGTGCGTTTCGGCCTGAAGTCGTTTCACAAGCCCGGGGATCCGACCAGTGGAGGGGGTGGGTATGTCGTGTTTCAAAACGACCGCCTTGTACATGGCAGTCACACAAAGTCGGCTCTGCGACTAAGCCAACTTCGTCCTCGTCCAACGCAGTATCACTTGCTAGCAATCATCAAGTATGTGCAAACATGTCCTTTGTACGGATAGCCCCATGTACTGAATGATTCATCGCCTGTGATCGGACACTTTTCTTGCTTAGACGTACATTATATTCTTGGTTCGCATATTCAATTTCACGTATCCACTCATCTCGAAAGTCATTAATTTCTTCCGGTTTGTCGCATGCTGTTTTGCTATTACTCTGCATCGTTCGGTACAGGATCGATTATGTGGCAGACAAACCCGCGTAGTCTCTATGGCATTTATTTTCTCCTTATTTTTCCCTCCGGATCGCCTATTTCACCTAGATTCCTTGGAGCGTTCACTCCGAACCAGACGTTTCACTGTTTAATACTGCATCTCAGACATCAACCTTGCACATTCATGTGCTGATTTCTCCGGTTGTCTTTCAGTTACCCATTGACTGGGATAGTGATTAGAAGTGTAAGGAAGATTAGTACAGTGCCGTACCCGGAGCTTTAATAGTTGCGGGTGAACTAAGTGTGCATGAAGAGTAAGTGGATGCATAAGCTCCGCGGTTCACAACACATCCATCTCGACCACTGTGATACCTTGCTGATTTTTCTGTAATTGTTTACGGGTGCGGCATGTAGGACCACTGATTTCAGGAGTCCCGATGAGCGAGTCTAACGTCACCTGTGTGACCCACTTCCACGACAGTGATCTGACCACGAATGACTCCGATTGCAACCTTTTTTGTTACTCACTTTGTTCGATGAACAGCAGACGGGGTATGAAAACCATAATCAAGAGACTGCCTCACATAGGTCCGTGGTTCCTTGGCTGGTAGCCCACACCGGCGAAGGGGTTTTTCTTTGGGAACCCTAACCGGAG